ACACAAACAGATACATGCTTTGTTACTAGAGCGAAAGTCTTTGTATAATTCTCTCCCCATTTTTGAGTGAAGCCTTGCATGACTAATCTAGCCTTGAAACGTTCAATGCTCCCATCTGATTTGTACTTAATTCTGTAGACCCATTTGCATCCGACCACTTTTTTTCCTAGGGGCAAACTCACAATTTTCCATGTTTTGTTTTCTTTCAAGGCCTTAATCTCTTTGTCCATTGCCTTAATCCATTGTTCATCTTTGACTGCCTATGCATAACTGGTTGGCTCATCATGAGAATCGATGGCCGCTAAGAAAGCTTTATGAGTTGGACAAAACTTACTATAGCAAATGTAGTGTGTTAGGGAATGGGCCTTACCTGCGGCCGCTTTTCGAACTGAGTTCACGTTGGATGGTGGTAACAATGCGTCACACACATAGTCTCTTAAATACTCAGGCAGTTTTCTTTTCCGTTGAGGTCGCTCCTGTCGCAGAACATATTGTTCATTTTCATTTCTTTGTGGTGTGTTCACTGCAGCTTGGTCAGATGCACATATTCCTTGTTGTTTTTCCAAATTTGTTTCCTCATCAGTTGTGTGGACGCCTTCTTCATTTGTGTCCATATGCTAGTTGCCGTTAGCTCCAACAAGACTCCTCTCATTCCTAAACGGCTTGATTTCATCTTCCACAACCACAGTCTCCCCCTCACTTGGGAAGTTCTCCTCCAAGTGCCTCATCATTGCTAAAAGGAAAGACTTCCTCATAAAAATGTACATCTCGGGATGTAAAGATATCTCCTTTCTCCAAATTATACATTTTCCATCATTTCTTCCCATACAGGAATCCAACGAAAATACACTTCTCGACACGCTCTCCAAACTTATCATTTCCAATGCCTTGCCTTTTGGCATATGCAAGGCACCCAAAAACTTTAATGTGAGAATAATTGGGTATTTTCCCAAACAACACTTCAAATGGTATGCGGCCTCCTAGTACGTTGCTTGGAGTGTAGTTAATCAGATGAGCTGCTGCCATAATACACTCTCCCCAAAATTTCAAGGGTAGATTGGCATGGAAACGTAATGCTTTTTCCACATTGAGGATATGTTGGTGCTTCCTTTCTACTCTCCTGTTTTGTTGCGGTGTCCCAACACGAGGTTTGATGAATGATTCCCTGGCTGAGAAAAATTCATTGAGAGTCCCTAAGAATTCTGTCCCATTGTCACTACGAACCATCTTGATGTCAACCCCAAATTGTCTCCTAACCATTGCACAAAAGGACATGAAAACCTTTTGAGTTTCTGATTTATCATGCAAAAGATACACCCACGTAGTACGTGTAAAATCATCCACGATGGTTAAGAAATAATGGGCTCCTGAGAGAGATGGAGTATGATACCGACCCCATAGGTTGCAATGTACTAATTCAAAAGCACGTGAAGCTTTATTGTCGCTTAAAGGAAATGAAATTCATGTCTTCTTCGCACGATGACATATACCACAACACTCAACACAATTATTAGTATGGTTGAAACCACACACTCCAGATAAATAGGATAATTTTTTGTCAAAAAGATGTGCTAGACGTTTGTGCCACAACTTCTCCGTATTCTTCTTAGCGGCCATTGCATGAGCACTATGTGTGTTTCGCAAATAGTATAGGCCATCCTTGAGATCACCCAGTCCAATCAGTGTCCGCCGGGTGGGGTCCTGTATTACACAAACATTCAAATAGTAAGTAATAGCACAACCCATATCTTCACTTAACTTTATTGAAGATATCAGATTACATTTAAAATCCGGAACATAAAGAACATCTTTCAATTTAATATGTTTGTCAATCATGATATCCCTTATTTTATTTACTTTCAAAGAATCTCCATTCGGGATGACAACTCTTTCATCCCTTCCAACCTCTCGAACATTCTCAAAGGCTTTAAGATTACTAGAAACATGATGTGACGCACCACTATCAATAATCCAATTCGATAAGCGGACCAAGGAAAATTTCTTACCAGACAGTGCATCATGGATCATGTTTTCTGAGTCACCTGTACCTAACAAAGACATTAAACGATCAAGTTGAGCTTGTGTGAGAGACGACATTTGTACAGTGTTGTTCGACGCTCCCATTTCTTCAGTGACAGCACCTACTCGACCCTGGATGGCATTAGCCGTTGCTCCTTTGCCTCCGTGATTTCCATTGCCTCGTCCTTGACCACGGCTTGCTTTACCTCCATTTCGGTTTTTCCAGTGTTTTGGGTACCCAATGATTTCAAAAAAGCGAGATTTGTCATGTCCAGGTCTCTTGCAGTGAACACATACTACGGGTAGATCAGCAGAGTCTCGCCCTTCTCCTATCTGACTCCTTTGATCTAATTTTTCTCAGCTTGCGAAGGCAGCAACTTGTATCCTTGGATATTCACGCTGCCCCGCTTTCAATTGCAATTCTTCTCTTGATATCATAGCAAAATAGCGAGTGAGTGAAGGCAATGGGTCCATGCTTATAATATTTGATCTGACAGTACCATATCGATCATCGAGGCCCATCAAAAATTTATAAACCTTTGCATTCTCCCTTTCTTCTAGTATATTGATCAATGTTTTACACGTCAATCCGCACACACGTGTCGGTTTTAGTATACTGGTCTAGCTGATCCCGTATTCCTTTTAGTTTAGCATAGTAATCTGTGACACTTAGTGACCCTTGCCTGAATTCATTTAATTCCCCTTTCAATTGATATATTCGGGGACCATGCCCTTGATGATATCTCTGTTGGAGTTCAGTCCACAACTCTCTAGCATCATCAAAGGAAATTATAGTATTTTGTATGCTTTTGTCAACGCAACTAAAAATCCATGAAACAACCATAGCATTGCATTTATCCCAAGTATCTTTATCAATGTCATCAGCCTTAGTTCTCTCCAGAGTCCCATCAATGCAACTCAATTTGTTTTTAGATTTTAGAGCTCTTTGAAAGGCCTTTTCCCAAACATGATAATTTTCTCCATTAAGAATGATTTGGCTCAGAAGCATACTTGGACTGTCAGAGGAGCTCAAATAATACACTGACGTGGGATCACTGATCGATGGGATCTTGAAGGAGGTGGATGGGTTGCTGCCAGTCATTGCTTCAGATAGGAAATCGCTCAAAAAAATCGCTGGGTTGAATAAGTGGTTCGGCACACACCAAACCCCACTACTACGAGTCACACAACTCGTCTTCTTTGATGGGCACACGCCCTATGAATGGATCAGTGGTGAAAATCACCACGTCTCTGATACCATGAAGAAGATAATAACCGAAATCGCAGAATTCAGTGGAGAAAAATTCCAATGGGAGAAAAATTATTCTCATAAACTTGTATCTCAAAGGGACGTCGGCTACAGTATATATATACAAGTTACAAAGCGAAAAAATAGTAAGTCTAGTAATGGTCACCTCTATAATTTAGGACTTCTAATTATAGAGGATATTATACACCTTCCTATTAGCATACTTTCTTATTATGCGGTCATCTTGGAATCAATCTCCGATCAATATTTCACCGGAATCCGATCAATTCGTTGGAAAATAGAATCTGCGCTTTTAAGCATTTTAGAACAGTCTCTGATACTAGTTTGAAGGATATAACTGGAAATTGGCCACACAAAGTATTCTTAGCAAGAATTTAACGAATGTAGATGTAAATCTAGGCACATACCTTCCATTTCTGCCATTCCGAACTTGCAGACTCTCAGTCTGCTTTAGCTTTGATTCTCCAGTCAACTCTAATCCACCAAGGTGATGGGAAACAAATGGTTGAGAGGCAGCTTCGTTGAGCGGTGAATGTCCCTAAATATAGATGTTTTGAGGCAATCAAAAGGTCCATTCATCAAGGACTTTGATGCCTCTAAAAGTTACAAATTGCTTCGGTTCTCTAACAGTCAAGTAAGTGTATTTTAATCTCCAACAACATGGCCATCAGCGTGGCCAATCTAACATGAATTACCTGTGAGGGGGGTCATAAGAGCTATGATCAATTTGTAATGACCTGAAGTCAGTGAAGTATCTTTCCTCAACAGTTGCTAATGCTGTTGCATTATTTAGCTGGTCGGCAATAGATGGATGAAAAGTATTCCACTTGAAGATGATATCTGAAGGTGATACTTGAGAGTTTTCTGAATATGGCTTTGTTCCCGGCTTCCCAAATAAGGTAAAAGAGGATACAAACCTGACCAAATGTATAAAGAGCCTCCTGTTTCGATAGATTTTGAGATTCTTATACCATTCCATGAAGATTTGATGTGCTGGTTGGGAGTACTGAATCCTTTCAAGGTTAATACCAACTTGGGCTTCGCACCAAATTGTCGTCGAGAAAGGACACTTAAAGAATAGATGGTGAAAAGATTCAGTGGTGTGTTTACAGAGAGCACACAGCACCGTTCAGTCTAAGGAAGCCATTTTATACATTTGCCTTTGGTTAGCAGTCCCAGGAGGATGTCACGGGTTGAGCAGTGAGAAAATAATGGTAAGCTGAGCTCACCTATTATGTCTCCCCGAATTGGTTAATTTCCATAACGGTATATCAACATCCAGCTCCAGGTTTTAGTGTGGGAACATGAACATGCGATATGGAGTCGTGATCCAGCACTTGAATTAATTTGCTTTGAGTTCCGTCAACAATCCACATTTAGAAGCGACTCCCGCCTTAAGTTTCCATGTTTTAGTCATTTTCATTTTATTCTCCAAGTTGAGATTCTTATATTTTTCCAGAATTTTAGAAAGCAAGACTGCAGCACTTTCTACAAGATTTATCCTCTAAGAATTGATATACTGTTGTATGTATCCTGTGGCAATTTCAACTATTTCTCCAACATCCCATCAGTTTCTTCCTGGTTTGGTTTCAGGACCAGATGTTAATCTGATGGTTGCTTTGCGAACCACAAAATATGAGACAATGCCATACAATTAGGATTTAAGGGGTTCTGTTCAGTTAGACAATGTAGCCGGAAATGAAGATCAGAGTGCAGTCTAAATAAGAAATGATTTAGAATTGATTAATTATTGGTAAATATTCTTACAAGCAACTACTTTTTCAAGTGTACACTTAGATTTTTGACACTACTCCCCAAGCATGATGAGATGGAAAATCCTGCCAATCCGAAGAAATTTGCCAAATCTAGTGTGTTCAGAGACCGTTAAACACAACGGCCATCGGTATTATTCAGCATCCCCAGTGGTGATTTGAATGAATCCATCTCAAAGTTTAAAATCCAACGTACTGTGTATAATGAGTATAAGCTTCTGACTCCAAGCCAATAGGGGCCCGCAACACATGATCTGGGAGATCAAATGCGACTACAAATTCCCTAGCAATATTTCTTACTTGGAAACTCAGATACTCTGTCAGCTTGTGTATAGCCTACAAACAAAGAGAAAAAAAAACATTACATTTCAAGCCCAAAATATTTCAAATGGAATACATGTGTCGCTTTTCATCTACTTTACCATTTCTAATTTTTCAGTAATGAACATTGAACATTAGTTAGGATACCTTAGCCTTATTGGGGGCCACATAATCTACATTACGGTAGGTCCCAATATCATTCCAAATTCGATTGAGGGCATAAAGATCACAGATGAGCTTCAGAGCAGCTCTAGTGTTGTCATCAGGGCATCTGCAGTAGAAACAACCACATTATGTTCAATCATCATTACCATCATCATTATCTATAATAATAACAACAATAATTAGAGAATTGGACTAGAATATACTTCTGTACAGCCTCAATAAACTTTGCAAGGATGACTGATTCAATGTGAGACTCTGCAACTGTCAGGAGATGATTCAAACATCTATTCCAAGCACCAAAGCCTCCTAGAGTCTTAGAGTGTTTCCGAAGGCGTACAGCAACACTTTGAAGCAACCGAGATGTCCGATACTGTACCCAAGATATTAATTAAAAGGTTAAAAATATAGAAATCTGCATTTATATAGCACACTATGAATCAAAAAGTCATTAAATTCACCCTGAAGGCATCCAGCTGGAAGTTTGGATCTCTTAAATGATCTTCACCTTCCCACCGAGCTGTCACTGGATTTGGCTGAGAAAGATATGTACCCATGGACTCTCTCAGGTAGTTCCATGTGACTGCTAGTGTCCCACCTTGAAATTTCTCCTTGTATTGCTTCAAAAGGTCTGCTGCCACCTGCACAAAAAAACATAGTTTAGTGTCAACTTTGAGTGAAAGACAGAAATCTCTGTCACTCATAATGCTACTTTAGATGTCTTCTTTCACCAATAGACAGCTTGTAGAAGCAGGAATTGGGGGTTAGATGGCTCTCCATGGTAAGAGATTTTTCAACACAAAAATAAAATTCAATTGTATGCCCATAAACCTCCATCTCATTACCAAAAAGCTCTACACTAGAAAAATGGAAATATAACAGATAGATTGCTGTTACAACAATCGGATCAGAACAATTTTGGCATTGATGTCTTGGGCTGACAAGCATTAGAGAACAGGTTCAAGTCCAAACCTTGTCACTTTGTGTGGAAAAATGTCAAAGTTTATGTCTATATCTAGTCCACCCCTCCCAAGACCCCAGGCTAGCTGGGACCAACATTGGGTAATGGCCCTTTTTTATGGCTTGTGTGGGACCCATGGAATTTCCCCAGCCATGAACCTTGTATAATCTGTTTTACTAGGACCTTGGTATAGATTCATTAGTTATATCTGTCAAATAAACACAGAAAATATAACACATAGTGCAGGTGAAGGGCATCAATGAAATGGGAATTATTTTATACCTGCTGCAGAAGAACAGTGTTGTCCCCTTCAAATGTCTGAAATATGTCATGATCATTACGCAGGGTACCAAACCGATTAACAGCAGCATACCCATGGCCTCCACAGGCTTCACGGCAGATGCTCAAGGATTTGGCCGTATAAGATGTTACATAAGCCTTGAGGCCAGCAGAAAGTGAATGAACATCTCCTACCACATTTTCATCATGTGACTTCTTCATGTCAGAATATTTTTCCACCAAATAGAGAGTTGCAAAGTGGAATGCATAGGTTGAAGCCAGCATAGGCATAAGCTTGTGTTGCTGCGACTGGTAATCTAGAATGCTAATCTCTGGCTGCTTGGGAGGACCAAATTGCTGGCGAAGTAGAGAATAACGGACAGCAATTGTAACAGCAATTTTGAGGACACCAACTGAAGAATATGCAAGGCCCACCCTACCTCCAACAAGTTCCCCTAGCGTGGCTGCAAATCTTTTATTAGCGGTGGGTAGACTGCTTGTATATTTTCCATCCCGTGAGATATCTCCAAATCGATTAAGTAGATTATCTCGAGGAATCCTCACAGAATGGAATCTTAGTGCTCCATTGTCAACTCCATTCAAGCCAATCTTGTGGCCACAATCATGTATCTCAATACCAGGAAGCGTATGATGAGTCTTGAAGTCCCTAATTGGAACAATGAAAGCATGGACACCCATATCTGAAACACCTTCATTGTCTTTACATGGCAACATAAGCTTTGCAAAAACTGTTGCAAATTTCCCATGAACAGCAGCATTACCAATCCACCATTTGATGGCTCCATCATTGGGTGTATTTATTATGAACTCATCTGTGCTTGGATCAAATGTAGCAACTGTTTGGATGCCTTGAACATTTGAACCTTTTGAATACAAACAATAAACAGTGTTCAGACTAAAAGTCCTATCAGGAATTGTAGTAAATGAGAGGATATTGAAGCAGTTAATTACCAAAAAATAAATATTCAAGATAGAAAAAGATGCAATGAAACATGAAAATATAGTTGTACAAGAAAATGAAAAAAATGGATTAATTAAAAAAGATAAAATAAGAATGGAATAATAACGGTAAAACATAAGGTCCGTCTACCATGATACCATTGCATATGAATCCTTCAATATTCCTTGTATAAATGAGTTGTAGACCAGAAAAAATGGCATATAATTCATATATTTTCTTCCGTAACACATGATTTCTACCTTTCCAAAATAATGTTTGAAATGACTTGCACATACACATCAGATCAAGCCAAATTTTGGATATGATCTCCCATGACAGGACATCAAAAGCCGGGTCCAATCCCTGGACTGTATGTTGCATGACGTTTCCTCAGTGAGGATAGATGGTAACCATCAGGTAGACTCAAACAAGTGTCCATTTGCACAATAGCAGCACAAATGAATATGCCACACAACAAGGGCAGGGGCAATCAACCAACACATCCTAAATAGAAGATGCAAATCAGAAAATGAAGTTAGTATGTAACCAAAGTTACCCATTTCAAAAATGTTTCTGGACCTATGATTCTGGCCTTACAGACATGAATGTAACAAATGGATGGCCATCTAAATTTCAGTCAGGTAAAATTTTGGCTTAAGATCTCCTCTATGGAACCTGCCCTCATAGGTGCACATCACATGTACATACTGTAGGAAGACTGTTCTTCAGGCATGTGTGATTATTCAACAACTAGATGCAGTGAACATAAAATTGCCTCGAGAAATAAGCCTCATTGGTTCTCATGGAACACTTGTATTAGGGAGGAAGCAAAGTTTTTTATACCAACAGATCTGCTACAACCAAAATACTATGCAACAAAAAAAAAAAACTGAAAATGGCAGAAAAGCTTACCATGGTGAAGTTCTGTCATAGCAAAACAACCTGGATACTCCAAATTGTCAATCCCATCATAGTATTTGTCTCTATGTTTCTTGGTTCCTAAGTTGAGGACTGAACCTCCCCAAAGGCTGAACAATGCACCTGAAAGTTAGTATCTAAAAATATAGAAAGAAAAGAAAAGAAAAGCAATATATTAATCCATTCAACTGATGTCGTAGAAAACAAATATGTTGTGCACTAAAAGGGAAAAAAGTCATATATTCATATAGTAGTTTCCTTTCCCTATATCTATGTTTTATGGCCTGAAAAAAATTTCCTCAGTAAAGGACCATTACCCAATGTTGGTCCCAGCTATCTGTGGTCTTGGGAGGGAAGGTTGAGTATGGTCCTAACCATTGGCATTTTTCAAGACAAAGTGACCACCCTCGTGCTCAAACCAGCGTTCTCATGCTTTCTAGCCTGAGATTTTACCATTACACCAAGTAATGGCCCCTAAAAGATTTTCCTTGAGTCCTGATTTGGTTTGGTGCGAACAAAAGTGTGACAACCTGGCTAAGTGACCAATCATGAGTGAACATGTGGGCACCCATGATTGATCACTTAACCAGGTTTTCATATTTGTGTTCGTAGCAGATCCCATGCAATTTTCCTTAGATCCAACAGACTTATTTACACAATAGATACATCCTAATTCACTGTGATGCCTGCATTCCAATTGCAATCATCCTATCATCTTGTGTTTTATGTAATTTAGCCATAGCTTGTCCAGATTATGGTATAATTTGAAACTTGGCTCCATCCAATAGGTAACCAAGTAATATTTTTTGGTAGAAAAATCCTGCTGCTTCTACATATTTTTGTACATAATGTAAGATGTAAAATAAAGTAAAAGAATTAGACCACTTTCTTGTTTTTTTCTTTGGCATGCTTACTTTTTTATGAGAAGACTGACATGAATATCCATGGAATACAAAGATTATATCAGCCTGATGAAGGGGAATTCCCTTCTTTCTCTGACCCTTTTTATAGCTTTCTTCCGCTGTTCCACATATAGAGAAAACCCATTCTCTATTTCAATTCATGGAGAAAAGCCAAAGTTGGTGATAGAGGAATTCCCTTCTTGAAATGAAAAAAGGAAATAGAATTCAGTATATGAAGTAGAGGAGAGGGAGTCTTCTTTAATTTTCCCAAGATTGAAACTATATCTCATTAATTCCCCACCCCGCCCCCACGCCCCACCCCAACAGAAGGTAGAGCATTTAGCTGGAGAAAGAAATTCGGCAACCCATTCATTTGAAGAGATTTCAATCAATTCAGCCATATTTGAGTGAAATCAAACACAGAATTAGCAAGTGCTGGCAATCATAGGAGTGAGAGAAAGAAAAAGGAACGCCACAGTCTCACAACCACAAATAAGCAGAGAAAGCACTCTGATAAATCAAACAAAAGTTGCATAAAGTGTGTTATCTAAATTCTTCACGCCTTTGAATACGAATTAATTGATGAAATGAAATTCTAAACTTTGAGCTCAAATATAAGCAAACAGCACCCCTTCTTTATCGGTAGATAGATATACTAAAACAAGTTCACTTTTTATAAAATAAACACCTACTTTCAGATAGATGAAAAGAAAGCTCAAATTTTGAATTAAGTCAACGGGTATCGTTTCCAGCGAGATACCAATGACCAGTCCAAACAAGCAAACCCAGTGGTAATTGTTAAACCCCTTTCTATTCATAATGGGTAGTTGAGTACCAAAAAAAAAAATCTAAATCCATGAGATGAAGAAAAACATAGCAGGAGACTAAATCATGACAAATTACCTGTACTGCACTCCCATCTTAATGCCAAGGGACATGTCGACGCTCCCGACAGCTTCGGCGATTGCAAAATACTTACCAGGGTCTTCGAGAACATATTTAAAAGGTCTAATCCCAGCTTCTCTGACTAACGCAAGAAGTTGTCGCATGCAGAGATCCCGGTGTTCGTCCTTGGATATCTCCACCGGCGTTTGAAGATCAGGCCGAGAGTTGAAGAACTCAAATATCCTCTCTTGGATTTCCCTGTGTTTCCCCCTCATGTAATCAGAGAGCAGGGAAGCGTTCACGTTAAGCTTCACCCTGGCGCATGTTAGCAACTGGAGTGGGGTCTCTTCGGGAGGAAGACGACCTAGAGGTGTTAGGTGCAAGGAGAGACGCTGGATTCGCCTGACGACACGATGGTCTTCATCCTCTGCCGTCGAATTGGGGTTAGGTTTCTGCATCATCTGTTTTCGATGCAAAAGATGGAAACGTTGGGTAGCAGAGGTCGAGAGGATAGAATTCGAACGTCGAAAGACGGGGAGAGACAATGCAAAAAGTAAACGGCTATTTCACTGTATCTCCGGAGTTGGCGTATAGTAGTTAAATAGACAAAAAAGAAAAAATATCAAGAACAAGGAGGAAAGGAATGCTGGTTTGTTTATTTGGCGCGAGATCGGACGTGGCGTTACAATCCACTTACGTGTCCAAATCAAATTCGAGTAAGGTTCCAATCTGAATTCCATTAAACGGTCCGATTCACGGTGAATGATAGGACCACGTGTCTTTATTTTTTCTTTTGAGAAGTTGTGTACTTTTGTCTCCTTTGTTTTGAAAATTTTGTACTTACGTTTCCGTGTTTTTTTATTAATTTGGGATGAGGTGAGGTGAGAATAGATATATAACATCAACAAAGAATCAGACTGTTTCCATCTTTAATAATGAGAGTCAAAATCATCAATTATGGTATGGAGCCTTACGGAATACGGAGGCTATAGATATGACGCAGCCTTCTTCATCACTTCAAGCAAACAAGGAGGCCTCCTATATATAAGTCATATCCGATCCACTATATCATTCCAAGGGGTTCTACTTCTATTCTTTCTGCTTCATCCATGATCGATCTTCGTGAGGTCCGGCTAGGTATCGAAAGAAGGAGCCTTGCAGAAACTTACAGCAATCTGTCAAAGGTGAAGGGTTAGGGCTAGAAGTTAGACCAGGTCCAGTAGTGAAATAAATAATATATTTAGGTTAGAGGTTCAGCCTAGTGTCTGTATTTGTAGGATCAAAGTATTCTTGGGTACGTATGAGTTTGGAATTGATTTCAATTCATGGGCTGGCGTTGTGCATAGAATGTAGGTTGTTGACATTTTAAATGTTTATAATTCTGTATTGAAAATCAGAAATCTATATTAGGCATGTTCGTACTTTTCCGTTATAAAAATATCATTTATATGTGTAGGGTTATTATGACCAGATGGGTGAGAGTTAATCAAACCTGAACCCAATTTGGGTCAAATAACCAAAACTCTATCCTAACTCTACATCTGAAGAAAAATCATAAACTTTAAAATTAAGGATTATAAGTCATGCCAAATTACAAAAATACCCTTAATATGTATTATGGGTATTACAACCCGATGAGCTAGGTCAACCAAACCTGCACCTAATTTGGGTTAAATAATCAAATCTCTAACCTGACCCTAATATGACCATGTAGGGGTGAGTCAAGTCAAATTAACCATTTAACTTGGCCCATTGACATCCCTATATGAGATTAGCCACTCTCCTAGGGTAGCCAAAACACTAAACATAACTCAAAAATATAATATTATAGTTTGTTTGGATTGACTTGGCTCAATTAAAGATGTCATAAGGCTCTTTCTACTTCAATTTTGTATTATAATGCTTATGCATCACACATGTCCCCCGACTAGTATCATATTTATAACTATATAATACTATTAAGTTGGAGTGTGTATCACACTTGCATCACACATGCAAGAAATGGAATCTAAGAGTAACTTTTGCATTTCCCTTATAAATTATAGGAATGCCACATAAAGACAAATCTCCTAATATAATTGACTTGTAATTGCCTTTATGATATTCAAAATTTATAAGAGTGTCACATATAAGATATATTTACTCTATTTACCTCATTATGTAATTACCTCTATGATATTCAAAAATTACAAGAATGCTACATATAATTATTATTTATGATTATGCCATCCTATAAAATAAAATGCCATTCCTTTTCACTCTCACCTAATTCTCTCTCTCTCTCTCTCAACTTTTATTTATTTTATTATTATTATCATTATCTAAGAATTTATTTATTTAATAAAAGTAAATAAATTATTCATAAATTAATAAAATAATGTAGTGGACTCTATGGATTTCAAAAATTACAAGACTACCATATATCAGACAAACCTTCCTATGTAATTCACTCTATGGCATTCAAAAATTACAGGAGTGTCACATATAAGACAAATTTACTCTCTTTAATTACCTTGCTATGTAATTACCTCTATGATATTACCTTCCAATGTAATTGACTCTTTAGCATTCAAAAATTACAAGAGTGCCACATATAAGACAAATTTACTCTTTTTACCTCACTGTATAATTGCCTTTATAATATTCTAAAGCTACAAGAGTGAAAATATATAATTATTTACGATTATATCATCCTATAAAATAAAATATCATCCCTCTTCTCTCTTGCCTAATCCTCTCTCTCCTCATATTCTCCATCTCAACTTTTATTTTATTATTATTATTATTATTATTATTATTATTATTATTATTATTATCATCATCTAAGCATTTATTTATTTAATAAAAGTAAATAAGTTACTTATAAATCAGTAAAATAAAGGAAATTTGACATTTTTTTGGTAATAAAAGGAAATTTAAGATTGAGAGAAAGATTTTAATAGACATTTATTTATTTAAAAATAATTTTATAAAATAAAGGAAATTTGGCATTGAGAGAAAGATTTTAATAGACATTTATTTATTTAAAAATAATTTTATAAAATAAAGGAAATTTGGCATTGAGAGAAAGATTTTAATAGACATTTACTTATTTATTTATTTATTTTACTAAATTGTTTATTGATTAGAAATAATTTACTAACAAATTATTCTCACCCCTTGAGCCCAATATTTAGGGCTATCAATGGGTCGGATCAGGTTTGAGCCCAATATTTATGAGGGGGCCAAAATGTAAGTGGAATGGGGGGTAGGGGAGAGTAAATATGGATGGCCATTTGTGAGCTCCGAGAAGCTCATGGCCGGCTTAAAGAGTTGGAGTCGCCACCCATTTTTTAGAGAAAATGGGCCCTCATTTTTAGGTTTGAAAAGCTCGATTTAAGTCTTTGATAGTGACTTCGTTTTTCATGGGAAAGACACACAACCAAGAGATTTCAAGTCCCAAGGATTGGGAGAGGGAAGGTATTAGGCACTCCTCTCTCCAAGCTACTTTAGTAGCCTAATACGGGAGTTATTCAGGCTCAGTTTCTTTTAGAGAAAAACAGAAATAGTTGTAAGAATTTCTTAAATTTGGAGGAACATGCTTTCAACTCCTCCTAAGACCAATTTTGAGGTGATGTTATCGGGTCTTAGGTACTGATTTCGCTAAGACACTCGCCTCTCTGCCACTACTCTCAGTCAAGAAGAAATTGAAAATGATGGTTCTCCAACATGAGTTTTCTAGTGTCTTTGACATGAGTTTTCTAGTGTCCTTACCTTAATGTGGGATCCCCTTTTTATAGTCGGAGTTGCCTAAGAGGAGGAGTGGTTGGAAGCAGGTGGTAGCGGTTGGCAATGGTTGGTGATGGATGGTCAGGATGTGTTCGACCGATGCCACATGTTTGGATCTGTGGGATGGCCGGGATGGATTCGACCAATGCCATGTGTTAAGATCAACAGGTCGACAAGATACCCTTACATCACTAAAGTCAACCAGTTTCTACCCCATTTAAACAAATAGATAGTTTAAAATTCAAAATGAATAAAAAATACAAATAAATGACGAAAGCAATAAAAATAATGACAACTTACCTGGGTTGTTGATCATTGTCGTTGCTGACTACAGTTGAGCGGCAAACAATGAATAGTGATGAAATACAGTCAATGAACAACAATCAAACTAAGAAATGAATGGTGGCAAAGAGATGCTTGTATTTAACTTCACTGCATGGGCAACAAACCACTCTTCTTGAAAGAGAATTATCTTAAAATAGGGGTGCCGCCAGTGAGTATAGTTGTGTAGTGGATGACGAACAGTGATGAAATATAGTCAACAAATGACGATTAAACTGAGCAATGAATGGTGACAAAGAGATGCCTGCATTGAAACAGAATTGTCTTAAGAGGGACGTTGGGCTCTTGAAACATGGGTGTCATGCTTTTGTGGCAGAGGGTTTAGGGTTTACATAGAGGGAGGAGAGAAAAGGGAGGAGAAAGGCAATGTATCGACAAAAAAAATTGTTTTTACCAAGCTTTGAAGTTTCCTAATCGATCACGTTATTGGGCAAAGAGTATTGTCTTGCATTGATAATTATCTTGCCATGTGGCCTAGTGAATGAGAGAGCTTGAAAGGGGCAAGGGAGAAAGGAGAGAAGAGAGAAGGGGAATGGGAGAAGGAGAGAGTTGTTGATGTGGGACCTAATCACTTTATATTATAATTAGTGGGGCCCGTGTGATGCATGGGAAGGTGTATCACATCTTGTCCCTTGCCCTCGAAAGTCAAGACACTTTACTCAATCCCTGCCCTAACCCCAATGGTAGGGCGGGTTTGAGGTGGGGCACCCATTCCTCGTTGAGGATGGGGAATCCCCAAATTTTCCCCACTTTGAGGAACTACCTAAAAAAATCTAATTTATGGATATTTTATAATTAGGATTATAGGAATTTGGGGTATTTTAGGAATTATCTTATGACAATTTGGGGGTAGTTTATAAATGAAATTATGGGATCCTAGGATTATAAAAATATGAGGAAAACTTAAAAGATATTTTAAAAATCAATATTAAATATGTGGATATTTTACTAATTTACCATCGAGTTCGGGGAATTATATTTAAACATAATCCCTAATTTGGGGCAAAATGATTTTCCCTATCCCCACCTTTTTCTGCCCTGTCCCCGCTTAAGATTTGAGAAAACTTGCCCAGTTTAGGGTGGATGGCAGGGTAGGACCCCGATTTTACAAGGAAAATTGATATCCCTACAAAACCATACTGAAAATGGTTTTTTTTATATAGGGTTATGGGTTGGATTTGAGTTAGACTAACTAGAATCTGACTCATATTGATTGTCTTCTTAACCGGAACGAAACTACTGTGTGGTTCCACAAAGTGGCCAAATAACCAAAATTGGGCTGGGATATTCAACCTTGTTTCACTCCCTTTCACTTCCAAATGCTATCTAACAACTTCGTCGGCAATGGGGCAAAGTTGGAGCGCTGCTCTACCTTCAAATCTGAAGATGGTTGAACTGCAAGAAAGAATACGATGGTTTAAAGCAATGGGGTGGAGTCCCTGTTTTGATGATTAGGAGAAAGACGAAGAATGCTCGGCTGTTTCAATGCTTGAAG